AAAGTCGCCAGTTCTCATCTTCCAGCTCCCCAGATACTCCGCGTACTAAAGTTGTACTACAAAGTCGCCAGTTCTCAGCTTCCAGCTCCACAGATGCTCCGCGTACTAAAGTTGTACTACAAAGTCGCCAGTTCTCAGCTTCCAGCTCCACAGATTGCTCCGCGTACTAAAGTTGTACTACAAAGTCGCCAGTTCTCGTCTTCCAGCTCCCCAGATACTCCGCATACAAGTTGTGCTAGAAAGTCGCCAGTTCTCATCTTCCAGCTCCCCAATCGCACGCTCGCCTGCATTTCGCGCACTCGACACGCGCGATCTCGGCAGAGGGTTGCGCCGGACAGACGCGAATCGCGCTCTCCCCTGCATTTCGGGCGCCCGACACGCACGATCTACGGAGAGGGTTGCGCCGGACCGGGTCAAATCGCACTCTCGCCTGCATTTCGCGCGCTCGACACGCACGATCTCCGCAGAGGGTTGTCCCGGACCGGGTCCAATCGTACTCTCGCCTGCATTTCTCGCACTCGACACGCACGATCTCCGCAGACGGTTGCGCCGGACCGATTTCAAATCGCATTCTCGCCTACATTTCGCGCCTTCGACACGCACGATCTCCGCAGAGGGTTGCGCCGGACAAATCCAAATCGCACTCTCGCCTGCATTTCGCGCGCTCGACACGCGCGATCTCCGCAGAGGGTTGCGACGGACAGAGACAAATCGCACTCTCGCCTGCATTTCGTGCGCTCGGCGCGCACGATCTCCGCAGAGGGTTGCGTTTCGTGGTGCTCCGGCGGCACTGCCCCCGGCCTTAAGAGAGAAAGTTAAGGTGAAGATGTGAGCTGTAGATGTGAGGATGTGAAGATGAGCAGAGATGATGTGAGGATGTGAAGATGAGCAGAGATGTAGATGTGCACATATGAACATGAGCAGAGATGTAGATATGTGAAGTGATGAAGATGAGCAGAGATGTAGATGCGCAGATGTGAAGATGAGCAGAGATATAGGTGAGAATGTGGATGTGCAGAGGTGAAGATGTGAAGATGTAGATGATACGTAGTTCTGCAGATGTTTTTCACCAGATAGCTGGAAGCTATAGGGGTTCTTACTTCTCAATGGATGGGTTCCTGATTGCGGAATTTGGCTGCCGCTGCCGCTGCCGCCTTGTCTCCCAAGCTTGTCTCCCTTGATGATTTCGCTTTTGGCCGCCGCTGCTGCCTTGTCTGTGAAGCTTGTCTCCCTTCATGATTTGGCTTTTGGCTGCCGCTGCCGCCTTGTCTCCCTGCATGATTTCGCTTTTGGCTGCCGCTGCTGCCTTGTCTCCCAAGCTTGTCTCCCTTCATGTTTTCGCTTTTGGCTGCCGCTGCGGCCTTGTCTGTGAAGCTTGTCTCCCGCTCTTGGCTGCCGCTGCCGCCTTGTCTCCCAAGCTTGTCTCCCTT